AACTCGTGACGCTGCGAGCCGCGCCGCCTATCGGCGACATGAAGTGCATAACTCTCCGCCCTTCGGGGAGCACACTGCCCCATTCTAGTGCTATAGTGTACTAGAATATGAGGTAGTGTGTTCAGGCACCCTCTCTCGCCATGCATGGCGTGAAGCAGCACACGTGGACAAAAAACCGGTTTTCAAGGCGGCGCTGCCATAGCATGGGCTGGTAGGATTGTCAGCTCCGCGCCGCTCTGCCTTCTCGCCGGGTCCTGTTCAGTGACCTGTTGCTTGTGTTCGCGCCCGCCTAGTGAAAGTTTTTCTGGCAATGTTTTTGCTGGCCACGTGACACTTAGGCGATGCTGTGTCATCCTCAGCAACGACACTGCTTTGCACCTATAGGTGCAAAACAGGGTACACCATAGGAAAAAAAAGTGAGCAGCCGTCGCTTTTCGCTGCACCCAAAGACGAAGCACGCAAGAAGGTTTGGGAACGGAATTCACACCGAGAGGATGGGACCTTGAACGAAAGCTGCTCTGTATGTGAGCTACACTTCGAGTTTTCATGTGTTCTCAGAGACTACGCGCACGTTATAAACGGCGAAGAAGTTCGCGTACCACGTAGGAGACCAGAGCTAACGCCAAACGCTGTGCCGAAGATAGTGCCTAACGTTCCAAGCTACTTATCGAAGAAAGCGCCGCATCCAAGATTTCCGAGAAAGCGGAAGAACGCGGCGGTCGAATCTGCAGCACGTTGTGTTGACGGTGAGGCCACTGATTCAGGTTCATCGATGGACGCTCCTGCTGACTACGAACCCGAGGTGGCCAACGCTACAGGGACTGCAGCTTCGATGGAACGCTTAATCAAGCTTCGTTTACCTTGAATTTATATGAGCTCGATCGCACCGCATCTCGTGTAAGGAGAGCGGTAATTTACGTGCTGTCACGGCTTCATTTTTTCGTGAAGGGTATTGACCAGTCTCGAGAGGCAAAACAAAACAAAAAAAAGCTGCACGCGAAAATCAGCCGTTGTTCATAAAGGTGCCACCATGATGAAGCGATCGTGAACTGATAATTCCACTGAATGGCGTCGAATTCGATCGGTGTTACTGCTCACTGCAGTATGCACGCTCGTAAATAAAGGGTTTCTTCTTGCAATGTGACAGTGGTGCCAAGTGATGTTTCCTTTTGACTGTACAGTGCAATATCTCGGCCACAGCAACAGTATTTCGGCGGGCACGTAATCGTTTAAAGACCAAAGATTGTCAAAATTATTGCCAAGTCTTCAGCCATGGCGTGCCTCTCAATCAAATGGCAGTTTTGTCACCTTAGCAACATAATTAAAATCGCATGATGCAACTATCGACAAGAACGTCGCCGCGCGTGTTACGAAAGAAGTCAAAGCTGTCACAGAGTGCAGACTACGACTCGATATAGCAGTGATATAACAAGAAACTTTCAGATTCATAGCTTCTCCTTCGATACCTCAATCTTCCTTATTTTTTATTCTTCCACCAACCAAGCTTTAAAGACTGCTGGCAGTTTCCCCAGGGATGGCTGCTTCGCCGTCGTTTGTTAATACCTGCACTTAAACCGTGTGTTGCGGCTTTGACATTTCGTTTTGTTTTGAATGCAGTACAAACAAACCCACGAGGAAGCTTTTCGCGGCCTTGTCAGCAATTACGTATGCAAGTGCATATCGCCGTATCGCATCCCGGCCGCGGCGGCTGCATTTTGGGCGGAGGCACAAATACTGAGGTGCGTGTACCTAGATTTAGGTGCACGTTAAAGCAACCCAGGTGGTCTAATTTCCGAAACACTCCTCTACCGCGACTCTCATAATCGTATGGTGGTTTTGTGACGTTAAACCACTGCTATTACTAATATCAAAGCACAGAACTGCATAAAAGGCAAACCGTAAGGTGACTGGATGGATGGATATGGTTGTACCCTTTAGATCGGGCGGTGGCTAGCGCTACCAAGCCATAATACTTAATGAACCAAAAACTAGATTTATTTTTTCCCTTAAATAGTGAGGTTGAGTATTCGTACTTTGCAGCGAAGGGTTCAATTTTCCCTCGTGCCTTGACTTTAGCCACATATCAGATAACCTCCTTCTAGTTGATTCTACCCGCATAAAGTCTATTTTGCCCTCCCTGTACTTAAACCCCAGTGCTTTGAAAAACTAGGTGCCATCATCCTGAACTATAGGGTGAAGCCCTTTACAGAACATTATCAAGTGTTCGGCAGTTTCTTCTTCCTCTCCACACGCACTGCATACCGTGTCTCCCACTTCGTATTTGGCCCGACATGTCTTCGTTCGCAATACTCCCGTCCTGGCCTCAAACAGTAGAGAACTACCCCTAGTATTAGCATATAACCTTTCTTTGGCAATTTCCTGCCCCAGAAAAACTGGCTAGGTTGTGCAGAGCCGTGAATCCTGGTTCGAGGGGCGAGCGAGGCTGCAAAGTCAAGCATCGAAAGAAGTACGTTCCATGCATTGAAGGAGTGGTGTACTCACTACCCCTGTCTTGCGGCAAGTGGTACATCGGCCAAACAGGCAGGTGTTTAAATGGGCGGCTGAAAGAGCACGCTCACAACGTCTCCTCTACAGTTTCGGGCCATCTCGGCATTCATTGCCGAGACTGCGGCTGTGTCCCTGATTTTCAGCTTTGTACCGTCATTAGGCGGCATCGGGACCAGTTGATACGTGAAATTTATGAGGCTTCAGAAATAGAAAGGCTGGGCAGTGCATGTGTCAGCAGGCCTTCGATTGCGCTATCATTAAAAGAAATAGATTTCCTTCGGCACGTTAGCACACGTGCTGCTCATGGTGCGTTGTGAAGATGACTATGTGGTTGTTAGGTGGATTCTGTTTTGTTTGTTTTGTATTTTCTTTTTTTGTTAGATACTGACAAAGTATATATTGTGCGGTTCTGGCAAATAAATCTTGTTGTAAGTTCAGTGCCGCTGTCTGTCTCCTTCTTTTTCTAGTCTCTCGTTATTGGCGCTGTTTTTTATGTGACTCCTGTATCCTAAGCTTACTACCTTCATTATCATTAAAAATCATGACTGCTGATTTTTCCTTACTAAATCTGAAATCTAACCTATCTCTCTCATTACCGCAGATGTCCATCAATCTTTGCAAATCTTCCTTGTTGTCGGCCATTAGCACTATATCATCTGCGTACATCAATGCTGGTAGTGCCTGTTCAATGAGTTTTCCTTGTTTGATGAGAGAGAGGTTGAAGCCAAGTCCACTTCCCTCTAATTTGGCTTATAATCCTTGTAGGTACATCATGAATAACAAGGGTGACAGAGGACACCCCTGCCTAAGCTCCCGTTTTACATCTGTGGGCTTGTATACGTGTCCTTCCCACGTTACCTTGTTACTTTTATAGATATTCTTTAAAAGATCGAATGCCCTACGACAGCGCCACCGCATTTTAGCGACGTATTTGCGGTGGAATTTGTCTATAAGTGGCTTCCCGTGTGACTCGGTGCGAGCCATTGAATGGTAGATGTTCTCTGTGGTGTGAGCGCCTGCATGGGGTTTATTTGCCCTCCATGCATTGTGAGCTCGGCGTGGAATTGAAACATCTCAGCTTTCTTCGGCTTAGCATTGGTGGTGAAAAACACTTATTTATCGAAGTTAGGGGGTGGGCACTCTTTTACGGGAGCCCATTTGCATCGGCCGCGGCGCGATCATGCTCAACCAAGACCCGTTGGATCAGAGCAGTGGAGCAGGGCTGCCTCCCAAACCTCCCGGAAAGGGTTGGATGTAGGGCTGAGGTCTTTTGGTATACAGCCCACACCATGTGGAAAATATCATAGGAATTTTGCTCACAGTGCGGGCGCGTCCCCATCAAAGCGGGGATGAAGTGTTGCTGTTGTAGTGGCTTCGGCGTAGGAGGATGCGCTCCTCTGCCTTTGTGAGACCCTTACATGGTTTTGGATAGATGTGATGGCTGGATTGGTAATATTTTGCGATCTCCTGAAAGGTGGATTGGTTTCGAAGTTCGGATCGGCACGGGATGAGGACGGTGCCGTAGAATGAATGTGCGCGCTGCGGCATCGGCCCCCTCATTACCATCGAGGCTAGTTTTAGCCAAAGCCCATGCGATCGCTCAGTGCGTGGGAACACCATGGTAGTTGCTGTGTTGCAAAATTTTGTAGGCCAGGATCGGAAAGTAGACGTGTTCAATGTTACGGCAGGCACTCCTTGAGCCGGTGATGAAGACCCTCAAGTCCTGATTTGTGGTAACGATGCTATGTGCACCAAAGGTGAGTTCATTTACTGGGGTGTTTCGGTGGACGACCACGGCCGTGTACCAACCTCCGTGGTGCGGGTCGGAAGCGTTCATGTAGAAAACTCTGAATTTGTGACCGTAGTGGTAAGCCAAGCCTTCTGCCCGCACAAGGCGTCGGCAACTGTAGTCATTTCGACGGTGGTACAGTGGTTATGGCGCTCGATTACTAACTCAAAGGTCGCAGGATCGAATCCTAGCTGCGGCGTCTGCATTTTCGATGGAGACGAAAATGCTGTAGGCCGGTATGTTCATATATGGATGCACGTTAAAGAACCCCAGGTGGTCGAAACTTCCGCAGCCCTCCACTACAATGTCTCTTATAATTATATGATGGTTTTGGGACGTCAAATCCCACATATCACTCAATCAAGCCATGTAAGCAGAAAGAGGGCGCACATGAAAGGAGTATTTCCGAATTTCAGGAATGTGTACGCGCTTTTCCGTACAGATTGTATGTCTGGTGTGCAGTCGGGCAAAGAGGTGCCGACACGACGGTGTCTGGGAGCGTTTGAACGATTTACAGTGCCTCAAACTTAGGTAGAAGACAACGGCTCCGCTTCATGCAGTGCATGACGTCACAGACGCCACGCAGTGATGACAGTGGCTCCTCACTTTTTGGAGCACACTTTAAAGCAGCCGTAAGTGTTTTTGGAGCAAACACAAAATTTGCTATTCACCAATCGGAGTTCAAAAGCGTCATCAAAAAATCTCGTCAATATCAAAATTTATTATTATATATATTTCACAGACACCAATCAATGTAAATTTTAAAAAGTTGCATTTAAAAAAATGGCTGGTTGTCGAAAATGTGCTGCGAAAAAATCTACCTAGTTAAACTGAGCACCACATTTTAGAAGTAACCATGTCTCACATAACTGTTGCCAAATAAAAGCGATTCTGCTCATTTGCACATTTCACTACACCGCCTGCATATTTAGCTGGAAAAATAAAAGTTGCCAAACTAGCCATATGCTTAATATGCCCGTTCTTATCGATAATGCTACACACTATAGTAGCGTACTGAGATGATAGTATACGAATTATTTTCAGTTTCTTTAACTTACGAGCTGGGCAAACAGTACAAGCTTATCATTATCATTCTCTTAGTGCCATTTCAGAGCAGGGTTGGAGCAATTACTGACAAAATTTACTGTTCAGAGTAGCATTTCTATTTTGGAGCAGTTTGAAACAATTGGAACAGCACTTCCATCACTGGCCATGCTAAAAATGGCAGTCGCCGGCGGCGACATCTAAGGCTTGTTTTGCACTGAGATATTCTATTACGGACAACTTTTTCTATGTGCATAGACTTATAGGAAAACCACGAAAAGCAGGTTGGGCAACCATGTCACGGCGCCTTTAATTGAGAATATGATTTTTGTTCATTTCTTGGTTCGGACTCGGTCATTGGAATTACATATGGCATTCACAGTAAAGTAACCTCCCTCACTGCAACGGCCCCACTACAGGAACATCCTTCTGTAAGAAAGAGGGGAGGGACGGCATGTGGAGCCACCTTGGTGCGGAGTGTTGAGCACGGTGTGTGGGATGTTTTCATGCGCAGCAATTGGGCCTAATAAGTGTTACGAATGGAGATGGGCAGGGATTCCTGATAATCTGGTGCACATACTTCAGCAACAAACCGACGTGTCAATGATGGCACGGGAGTGTGCAAGTGCAACACGTGCACAAATGGTAGCGCGATTTAAACTCCACTTTTAACTCCCTCATCCGCGAGCGAAAATGCCAATTTTTTTAACAGTAATAGAAAATTTTGTACAGTGACTGATTCATTTAAGCCGTTAGCGCCGGAACACGACAAAAAAAAAATATATTTCAGTGCGGACATTCCTGGCGACGACCGTGTGAACGGAAGGTGCAAAACTGTGGTACCACCTCAAGTTCGCTTCCATCCACACGAAGCAGTGAAGGTGCCCGAGGAGAACTCAAAGGTGTTTATGTATGTCCGATCGGGCAAGGAAGAGTCGGTGGAGGTGTTCCTGCGTCAAAAGCACTTGCCGGCAAGTTCCTATACTCAAGCTTGAAGGCGGTTGATGGACTCAAGGTACGAGCACGGCATCAGCATTCAGCGCACAGCATTGCCCAAGTACACAGCAGGTGTCATATCTCTGCACCAAATGTCGGATGCAAGTAGGCGTGCGGCAGTGCAACAAGACCAATGGCTCGTAGTTCAGGTTGTCGGGATGCCATCATACCAACCACCAGTGAGCAGGCTTCAGACGAAGCATTGTGGGAGAACATGTTACAGATAAAAACAACTTTGGAGCAATAATCATATCAACAGAACAAAAATGAAATAATAAACACAGCATGCGAAATAGATAAAACAAAGCAAGGTCAACAAACAATTGTTTGCTTATCGGCATATAGTAATGGAATAAAGCATGGCACAAATTCTTACATATATACAAAGCAATACACTTGATCGAGAACTACAGAATTAAAACAAATGGTAGTTAAGTAAGTCAAATTTTACACATATTTTGGTGTCAGGTGATACAGCGATGTAATTGGGAAGACCACTTCAAAGAGCAGCCATTCCACTTGCCCAACTTTCGCCAGTTTCGAATGTTTACAACTTGGCATGTGGCTCTGCTCGTGGAAATGGCACTCTTACTTGACACTCTTCAACACACCTCTGTAACTGCAGGTAAAAGCACGTCTTCACAAGAGGTTTCCCTTCTTTCATTACCGTTAGCCTTGTTTGCACTGACTGAGGTGGTGCTACTTTACCAGTCAGCTTAAAGCTTTGCTTCAAGACCAAGAAAGACGGCACTGTAAGACCGTCCAACATATCCTTAGAAACTTCTATTCTCTGATCTTGACAGCCACACAAACTGCAGCTGGTCTCAGCAAGCAAATGATCACCATCAGCTAGAATACACAATGTGACCTTGAGCATCGTTACATCCATTTTCATGCTCCAAGTCGCTGCAAACAACTTTTTGCCTGACAACTATTGCATTCCTCGTAGGCTAATGCGTTCACTGTAGAGCTGAGAAGTGGACGGCAGGGTCTTTCACCAATCATGCCATCGACAACGCTGCCTATTCCAGGGCTGGAAGGCGTTTCACAGACTTCTGTGGTCGATGCAGAAGAGATCACCAATTGGTCACAAAGATTTTCCTCCACATTAGAAGCCACACTGGCGCTATCGGTAGTTTCCAGAAAAAACTCGCAAACTCTGTCGGAGTCCCTGGCCAAGACGTTCAGAATTTTCTGAAGGCGTTGTGCTATGTTTTTTCTTGTGTCTTTTGACATGTCTGGGATTAAGCTCACATTTTCATCGTATAGAGAACAGGATTCCAGGCCCAGAAGGATGCACGACGTCATGAAGCCTCTTAAGGACCTGTGCATGGCAAGAACACACAAAAAAAAAAATGTGGCTGATCCCCCTGTATAGGAATCAGTACGACACGAAAGTGAAACGTGTCTTTACAAAGGTAGTTGAGCTTTTATTGTGCATTGTTTCAGCAACAGCAACCGATGGAAAAGTCACGTTAGGAATGGCAAGCAGCTCGAAACTTGCAGTGCACACCTCAAGCAGAAAGCTCGCACGAAATCGCCATACACAGGACGAGTGTGGGCTAACAACTTTCTGCGTCGTGTGTCAGCAGCACGTTCCTTTAGTAAACGCGGCCATGGCAGTTTGCAAAGTCACCGTCGTCCTCTCCCGAGTTATGAGTCTAATAAGTGCACGTGCAGGAGCAACCACAATTCGTGAGACCAGAGGGCGGCGCTTCGTGGAGGCGGTGACCTTGAGAGCATGTCGAACGCATGACCGCCATTTCGCCACTGATAACGAAAAATGCACTACAGTTTCGAAGCTCTGAGGACTGCCAAAAGGTGTGAGGTGTATATAAGTGGCTAGTTGTTAGAACAGCAGACAAGGTACCACATTGTTTAAGTGTACTACATAATTCTGGTACTAGAGGATACAGATATGAAGCCAAGGAAATTAAAGTACTATCCTACGCAGATGACATTGCCTTCTTCCCGCGTGGATAAACCGAGTGTTCAGAAAGTAGTAAACACTACTTTGCATTTTTGAGATATTTCCAGAGCTAATATAAGTCTTGATAAAACTAAAGTGATTCTGACTAGGACACGTGGGCACTAACTCCCTCTTGGTGGGCCTCTTGATAACCATCGCAATAGTGACCCTCATTGGACATCCGCCATAACCTCTATTCGTTGAAAGGTGTTAACTTACCAAGGACAGGATCTTTCCGTTTTTTTTTTTTGAGAGCCAAAGCATGCGTCATCATTCTAGCATCAAAGCTTGTCTACATTCTACAAGTATTGGATTGCTCTCACGTACATATCCAGACAATTCACAGGATATTTGCCTGCTTCATTTAGAATTCTTCATGGGAAGTCATGCGAAGAGACAACCTTTTTCTATCGCTTGAGAAGGGGGGGGGGGGGGCTCAGTTTTGTGCATTTGTTTGTACGACAACTGGTGAAGCGTTTTTTTTCACGTTAAGGATGTGTGTCACCCATTTCTTCTGGCAGTTATCCAGAACCCCCTTGCTTACCCCTTTCGTTTTCTTTTTGTCACAAGAGTAGCTGATAACTCGCAATTGTGGGCTTTCTTGAAAGATATTGTCGAGGCTATGCAGTTTTTAATAGTGTAGACAGAATGACACTCACAGCTGCACTCGTCAGCACCCTTTTCCCTGTTTACTGACAGCAATCTCAACCTGGTCGTTATGTGCTATACCGTGTGCATAAAATGTGTACATAGCCAGCAGCGAAAACATTTTTCTTTAATATTCAAAAGAATGGAAATTTATATATTATATATATTTCACATTTTGCCTTATCACTTGATGGTGACAAGTCATCCTCATTGCAGTCCACTGCACGCAAGGTACCACTCTTCTACACGGCACATGACACTCCCCATTTTTTCAAACCGTCACTGAAATAAAACGGCGTGCTATACCAAGCCAAACAACTTTGTCAGCTGATCATTCTTATGTCAGTCTTCAAATTGAATCACTGTTAAACACAGAGTTAAAAAGAATGAAGACAGCAGAAAATTATCAAAAGGAAAGAAAAATGCGTGATGATAAATTAAAAAAAAAAGTAGGAAAAAATAACACAACAGGCCCAAAATGCTCTAAGAAAAAAGAAAAACCGACAGCTGGTGGCCTACAGCTGTTATTACTCTGAATGATATAATGGCAAATCCGAGTTATGTTGGGGAAAAAATCGGTGACACACCCTGTGGGATAGACTAGCCCTCTAATATTTTGTCAGGGCAGGAAAATTACTAAACGGGTACCAGTGGGAAGCCGTAATGCCTGGCTTGGACCCGAAAGAACAACCGTGGGCCACCTAACTGGCTGAAAATGCCTTCAGGATCCGATGGGCTACTTGCCCCCACTTGGCCATGGACCCAAAACAGTTACATTGCTCCCTCTTGTGTGCAGACTCCACGTACACGGCAGGCGGAGGCCAAAAAGTGGATCTTGTGAGAAGTGCAGCACTGGCTTAGCCAAAAAAATTACAGCATATCCATGGCGTGAATGATGATAAGTGGGTTCGTTTATCTGCCATCCTATCAAACTCATCTTCATTCACTCCATGGTAACTTATGCTGTGTGGGTAGCTATGGCAACGCACGACGGACTGAGTGTAAAGAGCTTTACCCCTAAAACATTCGCCAGCTTGGAAGTGATGAGAGTGACTGTTTTGCTTTGGCAACTACGATAAACAGAAGCATAATGACCCTAAAAGGTTTAAATATGCTAGGTTAAGGAACTCAAATGATTAAACTACTCTGGAAGTTGAGACTGGAACAGAAGTTAGTCTAGATATAATCTCCCGTCTAATTTACAAGTGGGTGTGGAGTCGTTAAGACATGAAGAGCGAACGACATGAAGTGGCCAAGGTACTTGACTGCCAACCCGCAGGTCGCGGGATCGAATCCAGGCTGCGGTGGCTACATTTTCGATGGAGGCAAAAATGCTGTAGGCTCGTGCTCAGGTTTGGGTGCACGTTAAAAAACCCCCGGTGGTCAAAATTTTCACAGTCTTCCACTACGGCGTCTCTCATAACCATATGGTGGTTTTGGAACATTAAACACCACATATCAATCAACAAATTCATATGCAGTTATAGTTGGTCTACCTGCAGCATGCATCTTATTTCTAAATGGAATTGCTGATATAAAATCCGCAGGGTGTTACATTTTGGTGTATTATTACAATCGAGAAACATGTCAACATTGTGGAATCAATGCACACAGCATTTTCACATTTCCTTTAAAATGGTTGTAGATTGGATGGTAATAAATGCCACTCGAGGAATTAATGATGCAAGCGAGGGCCACTCTAGCATTTTTCTGTAGTGACCAAAGTCATAGCACAATGATAACAGCACGGCGCATTGTGCAAATTTCTTTTCACCCTGCCTGTACACACACTGTTTGACAGTCATCATCATTATCATCAGCCTGACTACGTCCACTGCAGGACAAAGGCCTCTCCCATTACCCGCCAGTCAACTCGGTCCTGTGCTTGCTGCTGCCACGTTACACCCGCAAACTTCCTAATCTCATCAGCCCACCAACTTTCTGGAATCCAGTCAGTTGCCCTAATGACCAGCGGTTATCCTGCCTACGTGCTATGAGCACTGCCCATTTCCGTTTCTTCTTCATGATTGCAACTATGATATCTTTCACACCCGTTTGTTCGCTGACTAGCTCAGCTCTCTTCTCATCCCCTCTCATTTTTCTTAACATCGCTCGCTGTGTCGTACTCACTCTTTGTAAGCCTCCAGGTTTCCAGGTAAGATACAGCTGTTGTACACTTTCTTTTTGAAAATTAGTGGTAAACAAACATTCATAGTTTGAGAATGCTAGCCGAATGCTTAGTGTTACAAACCCATAAAAATTGCGGCCATAATTCATTCAAGCAAATGCTTCCGCTAATGGTGAAACAGGCAATTTTCAGATGCTCCTACTTTTGGTGCCTTGATATGTCCTGGCAGACAATTTGACTTAACACATCTCTGATGTACACATTGCAAGGGCGCAGCCAGGATTTTATTCGAGAAGGAAATTTTATGTGCATGAGTTCTATGTACACTCATGCATGTATATACGATGCCTGGTCACACAGCTCTAATTTTGGGATTTTGCAATGCAGGGTGAGGCCCAGCTAGATAAAGTGATTATTAAATTGAACATGAATTATATAAAGAAGACCTTTTTGTCAAAAAAAACACACAAATCCACTTACATCATTCAATACTGTCCACCGGTTTTTGTTCTGCCAGTACACAGTGCTCCGGTGTTCCAGCCTGTGATGCATGACCACAGTCTTCACAGAGTAGGAGGCTAGCGCCCACTTGTGCTTGTCCCTCAGAGCCTGCAATAGAAAAAACTAGTCTTACAATTTAACTGAGGTACGCAAAGTACAAAAGAAAGACACCTAAAGAACTTACTAAAACATACAGACATATATAAGCTGTTACGTATAGAAGAAATGATTAGATGAGAAGATTAATGAAAGCTACATTATTGGCAAGTGACATGGGGAAAGGTATCGCGATGTAAGAATCACTTGGTTTGTTGATAAAATACACTTCCTCGACTTCCCGCACTACCTTATCCTTGAATTTAGATTTCACTGTCGTATCACCAAGTCTGTCCCATCGGGAGCTGCTATTGCAAAAACACTAAACTTGGTTCCATCCAAAGAATTGGTTCCTGCTGGCAGCAAGTAGTCATCCACTTGACTTTCTTCACATCTAAATTGCTACAAAGAACTGCACCCTCTGAGGGTTGTTCACCAGATGCAACCCGCCACGATCTGTTTTATAGATTATCGCTGACTCAAATTCCGTAGGTTAATTTATTTCAGAAAAAAAAAACAAATTTGATTTTTTTTTTTGGGTGACCGCCAAGTGAAAGAATATTGTTTGTGTTACTACAAACACATGGTTTAATCTTAAGTAATGCTAAGATAAACTCCAGGAAAAAATTGATTATACAATGGTTATAAAACTAAAAGTTGCATTAAAAGTTGCATTGTTGAAATAGCAGTCCAGAAACCTCATAGTGCTAGTTCTGTGCCAAAGAAGTGCTTATTCTGAAAATCATGTTTTCATGATCCGCATCACGTTACCGCACTTCAAATCACCCGCGCTTGGATGCGGTCCTTCAAACGCCACTGTTATCAGGCCCGACGTTGCCCGCCTTTACTATGTGGCTGCTGACACCAGTAGTAAAGCAGAGCGAAATAGCGGGAGTAACAGTAATAACAACGGTCACTGAACAATTTTCTGCAATCTCGGAGGCCATGATGCTGCTTGCTTGCAACTGGGCCCCACTAGATGGCACCGCCTATCCAGTCTAACCAACCAAAAACTGAACTTTTGAACCACTCGTGCCATTCCCCAAGGTAACACCAGGCAGTTATTTTTCTATAAATCATAAAGAAACAGAGAATCTGCATTTTATTGTGTCTTACAGAAAGTTATTTTGTTACTGCAGCTGGTTTGATTACTAGTAATTAATTGTAGGTGGACACTCTCACACCATCGGGATCAATTCGCATATGTCCCACTCGAGGTGCACGTCGTGTGATACATTTAGCTTAATTTCTTGGTAAGTAAAGCACCGCTGTTGATAATACAGTCGAACCCCTTCATAAGAGACTGATATAAGAGACAATTGGTATAAGAGACACCAATGCGCCTACAGCAAAATACGGGTTGATAGGAAAATGCATACATGGTACCCTGCTTATAAGGGACATCTCATGTTTTAAAAGACGAGAATCGCTGCCCAGACCATGCCTCTTATAAAGGAGTTCAACAGTATTGTCATTTTGGATCATACAGTTTTATACAATAACACATACAGGGAAATCTGGCGCTAGTGTCTACGCGGGCCTCTTCAGTGGCACTTGTACTACAGTGTACAGAAATATACTGCCTAGTGTGTGCTGAACGCGGGCTAGGAGATGGCCCCGCAACTGATGACTGCCGGCAGCGCCCGCATGGTTTGCTGCTGTGCGAGTGGGTGCATTTGCGTTCAATCCTTACGCTCCGCAAGCGCTGCGAAGCCTGCAGGAACCCGAGCCGTGCGAGGCCAACTATTATTTTCCTGCATTTTCGGAGTGTTTTTTTAGATAATGCTTTATTGTATAAGAACTACTTGATTGCTTTCACAGTACTGGCGCTTTGCAATACCAAATGAAGATCATTTCGTAGCATACATTTCACCAACCGCTACTGCCCGCTATAAAAAAAAAAAAAGACGCAGATCCCACGTAACTTGGGAATCAATTCTATGCAAGGTGACTCCGTTGTAATTTTTTATAAGGTGAAACATTATGAAGTGGTGCTAAATATATGAAATAAATTGAATAGTCATTGAAATGCCGAGATGTTGGCTCAATTTCTGGTTATAATTTTTTGCGCATCTCTTTCAACCGCAATTGTACCTCCTGACTGGAAAATAGCCCGCTTGGTACCCGTCTTCAAAAAAGGTGACCCTGCATGCCCTTGTAATTACAAGCCAATTTCAATGACATCATCGTGTTGCAAACTTCTTGAGCATATCATTGCTAACTACATTCACAAATTTTTACATGACCGTAATTTGCTTTCTTCTGTTCAACATGATTTTAGAAAAGGTTTCTCTACAGTAGCGCAATTAACATCGGTTGTTCACAGTTTTGCCGCCATTCTTGACAAGTCGGGCCAAGTAGATGCTATTTTTCTAGATTTCTCCAAAGCTTTTGATGTTGTTTCCCATGTTCACCTTATCAATAAATTACAATCTACTGGTCTTCCTGCATTTATAGTTAACAGGATATCTTCGTACCTGAGTAACCGCAAGCAATTCGTTCGCTTTGATAATGACTGTTCACAATCCCTCCCCGTGTCATCTGGTGTCCCGCAAGGAAGTGTCTTAGGTCCTTTGTTGTTTCTCATATATGTTAACGATATTGTGGATGTAATTACTGGCCCTGTTCAAATAAGGCTGTTTGCAGATGATTGTGTATTATTTAATGAAATAACATGCCGTGAAGACCAATCAGTATTGAATTCCAATCTTTGTAATATATATGACTGGTGTACAAAGTGGAATATGAACCTAAATGCCGACAAATCAGTTTTTATGAAAATAACCAATAAGAAAAATTCTCTATCCTTCCCTTACAACCTTTCAGGACAACCTTTGAACGAAGTTACAGAATATAAGTACCTGGGTCTTACCATAACTAACACTTTAAGTTGGAACAAGTACATTTCAGACATTTGTGCGTCATCCTTTCGTAAACTGAGCCTTTTAAGACATAAGCTCAAACATGCTCCTGCAAGTGTTAGAATGCTAGCCTATACATCTATTATAAGACCGAAATTGGAGTATGCATGTATAATCTGGGACCCTTACACAAAAACTAACATTCATGCACTTGAGATGATTCAGCATAAAGCAGTTCGGTTCGTTTACTCTAAACACCGTTCGAGCGATTCCCCAACCCAACTCATGAGAGACCATAACATACCAACCTTAGAACTAAGACGTAAAATCCAAAGATTAAAATTTCTTTATCTTCTCAAGAATAACAAATTGTCAATGAGACCAGAACAATACATCCAACCACTCACCACTCGCAGAACAAGACACCGGCATGCCGACTCTCTAACGCCTTTCAATGCTAGAACTAACATTTTCAAATTTTCCTTTTTCCCGCACACTGTAACCGAATGGAATCAATTACCAGCATTATTCATAAATAGCATAGACTCAATTGAACATATTGTATCTTGACCTGTATTGTTAAAGTGTTAAATGTCTTTCTTATTCATTGTTTGAGTTATGTCCTTATTCTTCGCGCTTTTCATGTTCTTGATCTTCTGTTGTCCTTATTATGAGCTTTGTATATACGTCCCTCCTGCTTGGGCCCTTCACTGGGCCTGCAGTATTATGTAAATAAATAAAAATAAATAAATAAAACACTGGAACCAGCACTGGCATTTCACGAACATTTGGCTCTTCTTGCAAAGTATTTCGAAGACCCTAAGTTAAGGGAGTGATCGTGAGGACACCCAGACGTAGGCGATTCGACCGACCGACCCACCGACCGGCAGGCAGGCAGGCCGCCGGACCGCCGCACGAGCAGGCAGGCTGACAAATAGACGGACGGGCAGACAGACGAATGAACAGACGGACGGACGAATAGAGACACGGATGGACAGACAGACAGACGGACTGATGGACGGACGGATGGACAGACGGACGGACGGATGGATGGATGCATGCTCAAAGTGGTTGCAGTACGCAAAGAAATTAATTTTAAAAACCATTGACAGTATAACCACCAGAGTTATTTTTTAAAATGTGTTTTGTTCTTGAGAGCAAGAATTATCAAAGAAGACCCTAAAACCTTTACCTCTTAGCCTGCATTCCATTAGGATTCGAGTGAAAACAAAGAATGATAACATGCCAATGAACAATCTGACACTCGCCGCATATGACACTCAAAACGTTGTTGGAAAGGGAATCCTACGATGACATGGGATAAAAACTGTGTGAATGAAATTCGAAAGGGTATTTTCAATTTTTTAGATAAATATTAATATTTGAAATTTCGCCTAAACGGCTATTTAATTCTCGACACCGTTCACCCTAATTCGAAAAGATAGTTCGATGGAGTCACTCTCAGAATGTTTTTCTCACATGACAGCCTTCGGATTCAGCCTTCTGTATGCCCTCTTTATCCTACTTTTTCATTCAGTAAACCATGCTGGATCCGTTAGTGCGGGGAACGATGCATATTTTCCTTGTTCGACCGATAACTTAGTTGACACAGCGGCACAACACATGCCCTTTCTTTGCATTGCCGCTTAGCTTTTAACATCTCAGGGTGTTGCAGTGTACATATGGCGCCATCGAACTTCACAGTTAATCAGATGGCAGCAGTCACACTGATTTTAAACGTGGCGAGGCTCCGGCAGCAACAGGACGAGATGAATTTCGCGCGTTCGTGCACCCTCTCGACACGCAGCGCCGCTTGTGGCATCTGAGTGCAGTCATCACATGCGGGGCCACCCATCTCTCGTACAGAATGCGCACGCTCAGCACACTAGGCAGTATATTTCTAGACACTGTAGTACCAGTCGTTTTTTGTTGCAAATATTTCCCGCTACCTTGCGGATTATAACGAAGTCAACCCGTCACAATTCCGGCGGCGCGCTGCAAAGCGTGTATTGGCACTGAAAACTAGTGTTTTCAATTCACTTCGTAGTATATCAGCTTTGAAGCTTAGAAGATAGAGAATAAAGCGATTTGCCATGAGCTTGACACCAAAACAATGTCCGTGCAGTTTTCAAATTTGATGCCGCAGTGTTT